ACTATACCCCACCCCTTCCCTGTCCTTTAGTCTACCGCAAAGGGTCCCAGTCCCACGCCACCCCCAATCTAGTTTGTCCCAGACATGCAGCATGGCCTGTCCCCCTGCTGGCAGTCCTTCCTACTGCCACAGATGTGGGCCCCACTGCAGCTGGGCTGGGCGTTTGCTTCTGCTCACCGATTCTCCACCCTCTGGAAGCCGGTATCTCAAAGCAAGTTTCTAGTGAGCTCGCTAACCTGCAAGTGTAAATTGACTCACTGATTGTGCTCCCAAACCACCAAAGCCTGGACTTGCTCATCACAGGAAAGGTGGGCTCTGTGCCCTTGTCCAGCAAACCTACAGCCTCTTCCCAAATGAGGCCAGACTTGTAAGACATGGCATGGAAAGGCCACACCATCAAGGTGCCACCCTGCTGGACCAGACCTCGCCCCCAAGCCTTTTGGACTGGCTGACCACTCTCTGGAGCCCCTGATCACTTTTGCTCCATCACTTTGTGTAGCTTTGTCCGAACACAGACCTCTTGGTTCACTTGCAGGTGACCAGTGCCGTTTCACATGTCACCCCTCCCAGCCCCACAACTTCACCCCCACTCAGCTCAAAGCCGCTGGATGAGGACTCATCACCCATACCCCACTCCTTCCCTGGTTCTCTTTTTCTATTCTCAGAACCCCAGAAATGACACATCAGATTCCCACCTCCCCTGACCCACCAGGTGCCCAAACTCCCACGCTGTCAAATTCCAAGCCCGATGCCTATGCTGCAGGACACTGCACACCTGTGCCCCCAGCTGCCAGGTCACGGCGCCCGCTTAGACAGCCAATACTCAGCCATTCTCACTCGTCTCGTCTCATGCCCCCCTATGCATTACCCCATCTAACATGGTCCCACCAATCCGCCAACCCTCTCCATAAAAGACCTAGCTCAACAAACCGGACTTGGGGGTCTCCTTTGGAATTACTCCGGTAAGTTCTGCTGGGAACTCGCAAATTCAGGCTGTGTCTTTGGCAGAGTTGTCATCATTTATGTAACAGGACCAACATCAAAAAGACACACAGAGGCAGCTCCTCAAGAACCTCCGGGTGCCCTCAGCCGCAGTCACTTTATAGGCATCTTGTAACCAAAGCTGCACACGGTGTCCTCTCGGTTCCCTCTTTACCATTTAAGGGACACACCCCACATCCTGTAGCAACCGCAGGATGGCCGCAGGATGCAGGGCTCACCTCTGTTTGCAACCACAGGATGGAAAAACTGATTGCCCAAAGTTGCTTTTGAGGGTGATGGGATCGAGCTCCTGGAACAGACTCCAACCTACCTTCCTTTGATGCCTCTTACGAAATCAAGCCACTAAAGGAGGACAGGGACACTTCCTCTGGAGCCCAAGGCAGTGTGACCTGCTTTGTCGGTGTGTGGCTCTCTTCCATCTACACAGCAGGAACATCCCTGGAACTTCCTCTCCCAGGTCCATGATGGCCATGGTGAGAAAGAGATGCACCTGAGCCTCCCAACAGGCAGAGCTAGTGTCTATCAGAGGACCAAGAGGACCAGTGGCCAGAGTGGCTTCAGTCAGCACACTACCCCTCACCCCAGCTCACTGCTCCTCCTAGCAGCATCCTTCCCTGGCAGCATGAGCAGCCTTGATGACAACAGACACAGGTGAGGGGCTGCAAGGTCACCCATTCCCAGTAAGGACTATCAGCGCAGCTCACCCCAGAAGCCTGGAGTGATTCACTCACTCCAGGAAGCAGCTGGCTGCAGACCACGACCCCCATTCCGCCTATGCAGGAAGCAGTCTTTGCTGTTTTGAAACATCTCCAGAGAGCAACCACTCTCCGATTGTCCCAAACCTCCCTCCCCCCCATTTTATTCTAGGAACTTCACTTTTCCTCCAGCACCTTCCAATCCTGCTAAAAGAAAAATCTCCAGCACTTGCAGGAAGTTCATGAATAGTGGTTCATTTTCTGACCTATAGTTTGTACTTTAAATGCAGGGAGTGGGGCGATCACCAGTTCCAGATTACAGGATTAGCTAAGACTCTAAGACTCAGGGGAGTGCTGCGGTCAGATTGCACACAGCAGTTTAACACCAGCACAGGTACAAGGTGTCACCTGGTCGCCAGGCTGGGGCAGTGCCTGCTGCCTGCTTCAGAGGCACAGAGCACTGGTCCTCTCCCTGTGGATTCCCTGGAATGCGCCTGGGATTGGCAAAGGCTCCCAGGGCCCACCCTGGGCTTCTCTCTTGCCCCCTGGGGCGGGAAGAGCGGGAAAGGACCCCTCCTACAGTGACTGCCAGGGGAAGGGAGGAAGCCACAGAGCACCTTGGATTTAGGAAAAAGCGTGGCTTCTTGTATCATCCTTTTAAAATGCCTGGTGCTCTGTGCTCTCAGTATAAGATGACACTTAAGGGGTGCATACAGCTGGCACCCTCCCCTGAGAGAAGGGTCCCTCCAGGAACACATGCTAGGGGGAGGATGCTTGCAGAGGACGGTCACACGCACGAGAAAGACACTGTGAAACCAGCAGGAAATGTGGCTCCAACCACAAAGGCTGTAGAGAGAAATAGGAGACTGGCCCAGCATCTACCTTTCAGGCAAGCTCGGTACTCTATGCTCTGCCAGGTCCCAGCCCCAAAAGGAGGCTGGGCTACCCTGCCCTCAGGAAGCCCCTGGAGCCTGCGGGAACTGCACCTGTGCTTTGGTCTCCCCCACCCCAATAAGGCAGAGGACGTAGCAAACAGAGGGGCCCAAAACCAGCAGGAGCTTGGCTCCCCCATATACAGCCTCCTCCAGAGGAAGACACGGGAGGGGGCAGAAGGTGGCCTCGGATGTTCTCTCAGTTCCAGGGCCCCGTGATTCTACAAAGGAGGGTCCCGATTCTGCCTGGAGAAAGGACAGTGGTAACAGTGTGGCCCTGGAGAAAATGGGCCAGTCCTTGTCTAAGGCCCAGCAGGCTGCTCTCCTGGATGACACTGTCTGAGGCTATCTTGGTGGCCACATCTTCCAGGCTTGTCCATTGGGAAGCAGCAAGAAGGAATCCAAGGATGACGGAAAGCGTTGGGGTGCACGTTCTCCACTAAGGTGCTCCAGCAGATGCTCCCCAGCAGAGCTGCAGATCCAGCTGGGTTCTGGATTCTGTGACCTCTCTTGCCTCCCTGGGCTGGGCAACCATGGTGAGGCTTCTTAACCCATCCCATCCTGGGGTGCCTCTTTCTATGACTCATTTAAGGAAGTTCGTGTATCAGCAGGGGAGCGATTCCTCCGGTGAACTTACCAGGTTCTTTCTGTGCACTTTCTCGATCGATTTCACAATGACTCTCTGGGACTTTCCCATCCCTACCTAAAAACCACGGACCCATGGGGCAGAGACACTGGACAAACCGTCTAACGGTAACCATGTCGGTGTGTCATGTCTCTGGTTTGTGATGGTCACTTGCATGGGCGGAAATTCCAGAAACACCTTTTTCATTTCTGCAGCTTAAAATGTCTCTGTGCTGGTTACTGAACAACAGAAGCTAAAACCCAGGCCTAGCAACAAGTTTAACCTTGGAGTCAAAGAGAATCAAAGCTGTGCAGAGCAGAGGGACAGAGTCTATGGGCGCAAGCGTAGCATTGGAAGTTGAAGGCAAATAAAGGCAGAGCCAACATTTGGTTGGGGATCGGTCCCAGGAGGTGAAGATGAAGGGGACAGGGGATACCTGCTTAGGAAGCGGTACCCATACTGTAACCAACCGAGGCAGTCGGGAGCGCGGCTGGCATCCCACAGCACACGCATTCCCCAGTGCAGCGGATGGACCTCCTGGCTCCCACGCCTTCGCCCTCTGTGACATGGCAGAGCATCCTAAACCTTGCTTCCCTCAGCCACGGTGAAAACCCACCCTCGGATTTCACCACACATAGCGGACCCTCAACTCCAACGGAGAAAGATCTCCAGGACCTCAGAGATTCCAGCTCCCCGTAGTTAGAATCACCAGCAGCAAGCAAGCAAACAAAAATAGTAACAATTGCTGGACCATGAGGGAAGAGGAGCCCTCTTCCACTGCTAGTGGGAATGGACAGCCCCTTGGGAAACCAGGGTGGACTAACTCAAAGGATGGAAATAGAGCGACCATGTGAACTAACTACCCCACTCTTCAGTGCACCCCTGAAGGCCCAGGATCTTCATTTGCAGATATGAGTGATCACCAGCAAAATGTGGTCACCCAAGAAAGACAAGTGGAAACCAGGTTGGGGCACTGGCAGATGGACCCTCACAGCAACAAAGGCAGGCAAGGGAAGCAGACTGAATTCGAGAAATGGGAGATGGGACGGAGCCACGTTCCCCAACCATTCCATCTGCACCCCAACTCTTCTACCCTCTGGCAGTGAGACACGAGCCCCGTGACCAGTGTGCACCTTCCCTCCACCCCAGGACACACCCTGCTTTCCAGCCTTGAACTATCACCCATGATTATATCATAAAGTCAATTTAATGAGACCAGATGCTAGAATTGATTTATATGAGACTTCAATAGTACCACACAAGGCAAGGTGGAGCCTAGGTGCACACTGAACCATGTGAAAGAAATTTATTGTAGCTCAAGGGAGTTTGTAAGACACCCAACGTTGAGACAGCCAGGCACAGTCACACACACAGAGAAGATAAAGACCAAGTGTCTAGAGCTCCACTGTTCACCCCCATCTTAACCCTCTGACTTTAATGCGGTTTCTAAAACACCTGGGCCTCCATCTCTTAGGCAGCAACAATATCAGCCTGAATCTTGGGATTTTCAGGAGGGCAAAGTAAATGGAAAGCAATCTGAAAGCACCTGGTCAGATAGGAACCACCTCGAAAATCCAGGTAGTTGTTACCTTAAATCAATGAACCTGCATGTTTGGAACCTTGATTGTAAAATCCAGGTACCCACACAGTGTTCTGTTAACTTTCTTGTACTTCTGGGTTGCGTGTCAGTGTAGAACCTGGGCAAGTCCATGCGTCATCTGTGACAGTCTCACACACTGGACTTACCATTCCCCAGCACCCAGGTGCAGCTTCACAAGGTGGAACACACAGCATCGAGATGCCTCTCCTGCCCGAGTCCCTCCTTACTGAAGGGTCGTTGTGCAGGACTGTAGTCCACAGCAAGCTCTCGCGGCCCTCGGCAGGTAGGGCCCTGTCAAAGTTCTTCCCCTCTAGTGAACCCGGCTCCTGGCTCCCAGATCCAAATAGCTTGGCCTCCTGACCCAAAAGCACAATGCTCACTCCCAGCGGATGTGTTTGGGTCACAAAAACCTGGCATGGGAAGGGTCACATCGGCCTTGCAACACAGCTCCGGAGTCCAGGAACCCTGCGACCTAGAAGGGAAGAAAGCGGTAGGAGATGTTCAAGTATTTGCTGAATGATCATCTGAACTGTCTGGCCTTGGCCCCTTCCTCTCCAGTACTGTCCCTGCAGAGGACCCTGCTTTGGTAAGCATCAATGCAATTCCCTGCACCTTGGGTCACAGTTGAGACCTCAATGGTGCCCTGATGCCACAGTGTCCCAGGGCAATACTGCATCAGCTCATGGCTGGGGACTTAGCTCAGAGGCACAAGCACCTACCTGGAAAGCACAAGGTTGTGAGTTCAATGCCTGGTACCAGGGGAAACAAAAAAAGATTGTATTGGCTGAAGACATCCTGGTTCCTGGAGAACCCAGTAGTAATAAAAAGTTTCACTGTGGTGAAAGGGCAAAGTCCATGACCTGCCGGCTCTCCCCCACTGTCCCCATCAACGTAAAGACCCTTGTCACTGCCCTATGATTCATCCCATGATGTGACCTCATCAGCATGAGACCTTCTCAGCAGAAGGCTGCTACACGCTCTACCGGGCCACCCATCCTCCCTCCAGTCACTGTATGTACCCCATAAATTGTGGCTGGCATGGGTGTCTTTGTCTTTGCCCATCCTGAAGCGCTGACCTCCCAGCCTCCTGGTCATCTACTAATAAATTTCATTGTTCCAACACCTCTGGAACGGGCAGTTGGGGATTCTGGCCAGGTCCCCAGTGGCTTCCTCCCCGACTCCCTGCTGGCCATGAACTGAGCGACTTTGTTCCACCAGATCCTTCCGCTACACCCTGGAGCCAGATAACCATGGACCAGTTCCTCAAAACCATGAGTGAAAGAGGGACTCTGCTCCTTTAGATGGGGGGTCCTGGGTTCTGCTCTCAGGACCAGAAAGCTGACTGATATGGCTCCCCATCCATAGATCCAACACTCCACAGACACCTCCAATTCCACTCCTTACTCTCCCTGACAGCCGCTCAGGGACATGAGCAGTAGGTCCACGCCACTGCCACCCTCTCGGGTGTTTCTGCCTTGGCTGCCTCCCAGGGAGGACTCCTCTCCCAGGTCACTTCGAGGCGCTCACAGCTTTGCTGCAAATCCACAGAAACCATCCTGCCCAGACCCACATGAGCACAGCCCAGCTCAGAAGGTTAAAAAACAAGAGGATGCAAACAGCACAAGGGCCAACACTGGTGCACACACGGTCAACCATCTGTCAGAGGCGAGTCAGAGGTTCACGGTGACTCTCACTGCTTCTCACTTGAAAGCAGCAACCAGGGAAGATGCCAGGAATGGATGAAGAAGCGGGGGTGAGGATTTCGAGTTCACTCACCTGGAGTCACAGACGCCCCAGCAGCTCCGAGTGCATCGCAGTGCAAGGAAGTGGTGGCCGGGGTGGCTGTGGCTGGGGCGGTCAAGGGGGTGTGGACAGGGTCACGTCAAGGGGGCGTGGACACAGGGTCACGCAGGTGTGTGGAGCGCTGTCCTGTGGCTTCTGGGTGTCCCTCACATTCACTCCGTATCTGCCTGCAGACACATCGCTCTCACCACCGACTGCTCTAGACTTTGGCAGGAAAATCACAGATTAATATGAAATGACCTACAGTAACATAAAACACTGCAAAAGCTCATCAAACGTGTTAAACATTGATAGGCTTTCTGGAGAGTCCTCCTGCCGCCTGCAGAGGCGCTGCCTCGAGTTTTACGAGTGTCATTCTGAGCGCTCCTTGGTAACCCACTGGGGAGGGTTTGGCCATAAAAATCAAAGCTAGAAACTTAAAGTAAGAATTTTATTAAGAGCTTATATTCTATTTGGATTTAAAGACCCATTGGTAAAACCAAAACTCAAGCATATATTCTGATAAGTGATTGAGAAGCATCATTTTCAAATGTGAGGGTCAGCTTGACACAGTACAGGGCAGGCAATAATTAATACTAATAAGCTGGCACAAAAGTTACTGGAGAGTCTGTCCCGGGCCTACAGGACAGTGAGACCCCCACTGGCCTAAGCGCTGGGGTTATAAGGGTCTATAAAGTTCTGGTAGGAACTCAAAGCAAGATAATAGAGCAGCTGGGGACTCTGGCTCATGCAAATTCCACGTAGCTCGATTGTAGGACAGTGAGTAGATAATGGGGTTACTACCGTGATTTCCTCCTGTGTGCTTTACAAAACTGCACCACTCTCCAATTCTCGAAGCTTGACTGCATCAGAGGCTCGCCCACTGCTTCCTGAGCCCACTAATCATGCTGTGCATCTAATAAAGGCCAAAGATCCCAGAGTTGCGTGGTCCTAGAATGTCACTGGGCTTTGATCAGGCTGGTGCCCTTCATAACTAAAGTGTATGTATTTTGTCGTGTTTTATCCTGTCTTCACACCTCTGAGCAGATCGGTGGTCCTAGGCTAGGGCTCTGATAAGTGGCCTCCACTTTGGAGCATTATAATCTGCTCAGACAAGGCTACCCGGAATGGACACCACTGGAGGACAGAGATGAAGTCAGGACCTCGTGGGATGAATAACAGGAACGCCCAAAGAGTGAGGTCAGTATTTACCAATGCCGGTGGGTTTGCAACCAGGATTAAAAATGGAGCAGGAAGGACCAGAGATTTAGCTCAGCAGTTCAAGTGCTTGAGTTCAATCCCCAGTTTAAAAACAAAATGCTGCAAGATTTATCAGTTGAGGAGCAATTTTACAACCAGTGGTTTCATGCCTTGGTAAAGCAAGCAAATATTACAGTTCCAGCCAGCAGTCTGACTACAATGCTACACGATATTGTTAAATGCAATCCTTAGTTCCCTGAATATGACAAGGTAGATTTAGAAAACTGGGATCACATAGGAGGCTGGCTACAGTGAGCCCCACAGCAAGCTGAATTCTCCCTCTAGATAACTACTTCTGGAGCCCGAGGCAACTTCTGAAGAGGAAAGGAAACTTACCCAATTGCTTTGCAAATTGGAACATCTCTTGACTGCAACGGTTACCAGTTAAGAAACCCCCAGACCGAGGAGGAGGAGGAAGAGGAGGAAGAGGAGGAGGAGGAAAAGGAGGAGGAGGAGGAGGAGAAGGTGGAGGAGGAGGAGGAGGAGAAGAAGGAGGAGGAGGAGGAGGAGGAGGAGGAGTGTGCACTGTCACCTTCTCCACCCAAGGGCGCACTGTCTCCACCCAAAGTGGCTGCTACTCATTAGCAAAGAGTTTTAGAAAACACATTGGCCTGGGAAAAAGTTCTGACTTCCCTATACTCTTCCCTGTAGGTAACACTAAGCATCCCGACAACCTTGATCAGGCTAGTAATGTACATATTCCCTTTCTTTTATTGTGTTTTTCTTTTCCCCCTTTCAATTTAAAATTTTAAAACATCTAAAACAAACTTTTGTGAGCAACGGGGTCCAAAGTCCATAGACAAGTGATCTATTAGAAAATGTATTACAGGGAGCATACATGGAGACCTTGAAAGAGTTTTTTTAAATTTATAGCAGTGTAAAAGCAATAAGCATTCAGCAAAAGCCATCTTCAATTTCTGAATTTCCCCAAGCTTGCAATAAACAGCGAGCTTCTCTGCTGGTGCCTTTTAAACTGTGTTGTTTGGTTAAGACGTATTTGTTGCCTGCTCAGGTTCCACAGTTTGAGGTTCAAATACGCTCCTTGGTTATTGAACAGACTGAGGAAAACCACGTGAGGGGCAATACTGAAATCACACTGGCTATGCTCCCGCCCAGGAAACTGCAAACGCACATGCTCAAGGCTGCTGTCCTGCAGCCCTTTACACACAGTGGGCTGAAATTCCCTGAGCCTGGGCCGCAGTCCGAGATGATGGAGCTCCAATGCAAACTTTCCCTCAAACCTCAGTTTGTGGTTCGATTGCAAGAGGCTGTAAAAAGACAAGTCTCTAGCTCCCAAACTGAAGGTGTCTAGGTTCTACCACTGGCTTATGAGCACCAAACCAACAAGCTATGGACCAGTCGGATTGGCTAATGATACTGGGATTATGGTAAAGCATGTCAGCATACTGGGTCACCGTGGTCTTACAAGCTGGCTTTGATGGCACAGGCTGTTTCCAGCCAAGTCCAAAACAATAACGTTTTCTAATTAAGAGATGTGCTTGGTGCAAAATTAAGTTAGGAAATAAAAGCTTTCATATGGCTGTGACCATTTGTTATTACTAGTCTCATGGTTATATTAAATGTACTCACGCTGCCAGGGGTACAGCTCTTCCAAAATGTAAAACTGGGATTACTTTTGGTGGTAACCTTTTTCTTTTAGATTCAGGTGTCTACACCCTTCTCTTGTGCTCCAGCTAAGTAACAGAAAGAGTTAAATCTGTTAAATCAATATGAGACTGCCAGTCAAATAATAGCCTTTAAAAAAAAGTATATGATAAAAATTGTATGTGTCAGTCTGTCCTGTACTAAGATGGACATTTGAGTGTGCTACAAAAATCCTAAATTATGATCAATGGCTTTTGATCTCAAGTTTTCTCTATAAACTATACCACGGTTATAGCAAAACAATCACAAGTGGTAAGAAATAACAGTCTTCTAGCTACACTTTATATTTCAAAGTACTTGATATCCAGATAAAATTATAACAGTTACTCCCCTTACTCCCACTACAATGCTGTTTCTCAGGTTACAGAGGACAAAAAGGACCCTCACAGACAGCACAGTTCACTGGTCTTCGCCTGTGACCATAAACACAGATACGGGACCTGCTTATCTTCACAGATCCACTTAATGATTCTTTAAGCTTTGGGGAATTAAGCCTGTATCTGGAATTCCCTGTCATCCCCAGGGACAAAGGATTATGAAAAGATCTCATTTAACCTTAGAATCACAATTAATAAAACAAAAAGGAGGAAACTAGACAATCCCGATGTGGCCAGATAGGCAGTTAGATTTAACCATTTACATTTCAAATTTCTCGGATCCAGCGCCCCATTCTCAATGCCCCCCACCGTGTTTCATTAACCACATTCTTCTTTTCAGCTGAGGGCAGTGGGCCCCAAGTCCAGTGGCTCAGCTTCAGCCAGATCAATGGACCCTTGCAGAGCCCAGGAGGAGGGTGTGGCTGTGTGTCCCTAGTAATGGAGAAAGCACGCCCCACTATGACACCATGGGCCACCAATGCGCCTATCCTATACTGGCAGAAAGACCTGGAGACATGCACAGTCTACGTCAGGCACCAGAGGGACTACGCCCCGCCCAGAGGGTCAGCTGGAGAGCCCTGGAGGAGCCGTTGATGAGACACATGACTGAACCTCCGCCAGGGCTTGGCCTCTACCAGGAAACTCGCCGGGTTGCCCTGCTTGCCGTCCTGGCCGCTGCGGTTCATATTCCCTCTGCAGGGGCAACGGAATCCTGCACCTGCCCCCTCCCTCTCCTCCTCCTCCTCCTCTCTTAGGCAGGTTACCTGCATGGATCAGTCCTCAGACGCTTTTCATTCCCTCGATAGGACCCTTCCAGAAAGGACGAGTTTGCCCTGACCTCAAAGTATTACCCTTATGGAGGATGGCCCTTGCTTCCCATTTTGTTCATCTGTGTCTCTGTGCTAGCTGAGATCCCTCAGACTTGCCTTACAGTGAGGGCTCAGGCTCGTGCAGGCCAAGGGGAGATAAGACAGTAGTTCTTGCTCTGGACTCCATATCCTTTTACAGAGATTTTAAGTTTAAACCCGACCTGCCTGCGTGCAGATACAGTGCATTCTTTCCTCCTTTTTATGAAGCACTTACGGGCCAAGGGAAAACTTGCAGAAAGGCTGCTGAAGCAATCAGATAGTAAGTTCAGATTTTCCTCTGTAGAGCGCTCCACATGGGGCGTTCCTGAGAGGACGGGAAGACTGTTCTTCATTGGGCCCCAGGTCATACAGTCCGGCCCCTCCCCATGAAAAACATCACCTGGCTGGGGCAGGGACAAGTCCCCCTGTCCCCTGTCAGTCACGAGTAACAACGCAATGCTGGCTGTATTTAGTATTCTCTTTGGAAATTATCAGTACTCTTTCAACAAAGGCATACACAGGTGGGAATAAGGGGCATCACCAATGGTGGAAAGTTGGATGGACCCTAAGTGGATTTAAACTTTCCAGTACTGATTTAGTGTCTGTTATCCGCATGCATTCCTCTGTGGGCGTGTGATCTGGAGTACGACTTCCTGTTCGTGTTTTAACCGCTGTCTCACCCACTGCACCCATTCTGGGTCAACCATCAGTTTCTCATTCAGTTATCAGGGTGGGATGCACGCCTGAATGCCTCTCTCCTCTCTGATTATACTCTTAATGTGCCACGGCAGAACTGCAACCGACTGGCCTCTAGTCCTGGACTTATCCGGATGCAGCTGCTTCCACATCTGAAGGAAAAAGGGGGACTGCTGAGGGCCAGCTTGACATGGTACAGAGTGGGGAATAATTAATATCAATAAATGGGCCAAAGATAAACTGAGTCTGTCCAAGGCCTACAGGACTCGTGGTGAGACCCTTGCTGGCTTAAGGACAGATTAATTTTTAAGCCAATGGCCAGAGATGAAACTAACAAACAGCCTGTGAAATTCTGGCACCCGAAAGCAAGGTAATATGG